CTATTAAATGCTCTTCCGCGGTGCTCTGTGATAAGACCGTAAGGACTTCTTGGGGCACCTTAATCAATATTATGTATAAAGTAAAGCTGCACTGAACTAGATACAATTTTATTTGGAAATGACACAAATTTATTTTATGCACATAATGATATAAATGTTCTGTTTAAGTCAGTAAATAAAGAGCTATTAAATCTTACTGAGTGGTTTAATACAAACAAATTATCTCTAAATGTAACAAAACTAAAACAAAATATACTTTTTTTCATTGTTTTCATGACCGAGATGAAATTCCTTTAAAACTTCCAAAACTTTGTATTGCTAACCAGGATATAAAAAGAGAAAACACTTTATAATTGGAGATTTTACGTGGAGAGATTAGATACAATACCTTGATATTACAATCTCAAGGAACATAGGCCTGCTTTGCAGAGCAAAACCTTTTTTTAAATCCAACTTGGTTAAAGCTTTTATATTTCTCGTTCATTCATTGCCATCTTAATTACGTGCTTGGTGCAGTACAAATAAAAATAAAATAAAAAAGCTATTTAATAAACAAAAGCATCCAATCGGAATCATTTCCAATATGGGCCGTCATACACACTTCCTAACATTATTTGTTATTTCAAATATAACGAAAGTTTATCAATTAAATAACTATTAAATTTTTATGTTCTTTATGTTCAAAATTAATAAAAATATATCATCTAAAAAATTTTACCTACTATTCAAAATAAATCAGAATAGATATCTAACCAGATTTTTAAATAACAGTTTTATTCAGCCCAAAAGTTATTTTGCGACGATTGAATTTTCAATTTCTACTAAAGGGCAAAAATTATGGAATAAAATATTAACTAATGAGCTTAAAACAATTGCTACACTTAAATAGTTTAAAATAAATTGAAGCAAAAACTATTAATGAACGACGTACCGCTCAGCTTTTTCCGAAGTTTTAATAATTGCTACTGCTAAACTTAACGAACAATTAGAGGTTTGTAATTATCGGCTTGGTATTTGTCATTATCGGCTTGGTATTTGTCATTATCGGCTTGACGATCTTAGAAAAGGATTGTGCCACTTGTTATTGCCTTAATTCTTTTTTTTCTTTTTTTTTAATAAAAAAATTATGATTTATAAGAATTACTCACATATTTCAAGGTACATGCTGGTGTAAAAGAAAAGGTTCATGATTATGCATATTCTTTGCATGCTTTCTTTTTTTTTTAATTTTTTTAACCAGTCTAAAAAAAAAAAAATTAAAGTAGGACTTTAAAACCAATGATTTTTATTTTATAAAGTCTTTAGAAAAACGTTTTATAATATATAGTGTTACGTTTTGTTGTTTTATATTTACAGTATAGACTTTGGGGCTTGGTGATAAGACCAACTATGTCTTCTTCTTGCCCCCCTACTATTTGTATTTATATTATCATTTACGACTTGAATAAATTTATATAGCAAAAAAAAAAAAAAAAAAAAAGAAGATGGGTGAGATGACCCGGAATGCGTAGAAAAATAACATTATTTTTCTTTTGCAAAATCAATAGGTTGGGAGCTAATATTGAGAAATGCATATTTGAGTACACGTGTGCAGTTTGCTAGATGTTTTTTCGACAACCTATAAAAGGTGTATTAACATTGTTTTCTTTAATAAACTCTTGTATTAGATCTTTTACCTCTAGTTATATTTGTATAGTATTCTTAAACGGTAATTATTTATCTGTTTTTTTTTTAATATTTAGTTGCATTATTAATGAACTGTTATAAGGTTCTCGCTGACAGAATCTTACAATCCTCTTTTAGTTTTTGTGTTCTTATATTTTATTTACAATAAAATATAAATAAAACTCGTATTACCAAGGCCCGAGAAGGTGCCAATACATTCGAAAAGTACTCATAATTGTGATGAGAAAAAGAACTCATAATTGTGATATGAATGAGGAAGAACTCTTGATTGTAAGCCAAGTATTCTACCACAAGTCTTCTATTGCACCAGGCTTGTGAGGTTAAAGGTAAGCCCACTGGTGCCATTAGTATCTTTTTTGACTTAAAATCGTAGCACATTGTAATTGTCTCCGCTATGCAAAAATTTCAAAAGAAAAAATTTACTGCAAATTAAAAAAAAATTCTTATATATTATTTTTTAAATTTTTATATATCCAATAAAACATACTTTTGAGAAATATTTTTATGTCAATTCCATGGACCCGTTGAATGTTTAAGTGCTTTTGTATACTGGACACCCCTACAGTGTCAACGCCCTTGAAATAGATTAAGTTTCGCAAATGCAGCTTAAAACGTTTTTGTAGAAAGGCATTTCAATCATTCATTTAATTTTAACTCAATTTTTTACTATTGTATTTCAAAGATAGTTTAAGTATTTCACAGGGTAATAAACGTGTTTGAAAAAATAAATACAAGATAAAGTAAAGAATTAATAAAAATTAAACAATTTTTCTAAGAATTAAAACGATCAAGCTTTTGAGATCCAAAATTTATTTACTAAATGTGTTCAACGCTATTCTGCTAATAGAAAATACCTTCTTTGGTTAAAAAACAATCCAAACATTCGAGCAACGCTGAATACTTTTTTGTTATTTTATTTGTTTGTCAAAACATTATTAAAAAAAACAACTTTAAATAATGTGGTTAATTTTAAAAAATGGTTTAGGTACTAGCATAATTATAAAAATAATACAAATGTATCTTGGCTATTTAGTTTGGCTAGTTAATGAATAAGACATGCAATACTTGTCAAACTCACTTAACAAATACACTAAAGAAGAGATTAGCCACATGATTTTGCACTTCATTTTTGTAAGATGTAATGTTGCCTAAGACTAGCCATCCATTTCTGGGTTCTTTCTTTTCCTTGATAGACAGATAGACAGTTTAAATAAAATATTAGTACTTTTACCAGTGGTTTTTATATATTAGTTATGTTATCTTAGTTATGCATAAATGTTTTATGCATATAGTTTTTGTGTTATTTATTTTAATACACTCATATTTAAGACAAAGTAAAAAAAAACCTAAAAAAGTATAAATCGACGGGTTAATTCTAAAACATTGCATGTTCATTTTAAACAGTTGTGAGAAAAACGATTTTAAAATTTTAAACTCGTATACAAATTAAAATATTTAAAAACGTTTTTATTGAATAACTTAAGATATATCATACACTCTCTATAATTTAGTGGACGGTAGAGGGCGCAGAGATCGACATTTCAATATTCATAACTCAATATAGCCCAAATTTGGACATACAATGTTTTAGAATTAACCCATCGATATAAAACTCTTTCAATATCAAAAATTATTACTTGATGAATAAAATTAATTAACTAATGAGTATTCATCAACAATATTTACATTTACTTTATTACTTATAAATTCTAGAACTTTTTTAAAAAAAATTACTAACTTTTTGTCCTTGTTCGATTAGGGTTACTAATATGAACTTTTTTTGTAAAGTTCGAACCTAAATAGTTTCAAAACGTGTCACATGCTAGAACCGACTACTATCTGCGTTCGATCATTACGTCAGAATAAATGACACACTGACCTAATAGCCAATTTACTAATGTTTTTATTCTATCATTCTTTTGAAAAAAAGATTACAAATGCTGATTTTCATAAAAAATTTTAGTAATATATCCGTGTTACATTTTAAAAACACTAACTGACAAACAGTGTCAGAATTTAAACTTGCACGCTTAGGGTTCATAATCAGGCCACCCTGACTGAATTTTCAAATCACCGAAATTAGTAGCAAACACAATTTTAAATACTTAAAATTAGAACAGCAGTGCAAAGACTTCCGGAATGGTGGACGCTTTTTTACAATGAACTTTATAAATAAATTACATGAAAAAATAATAATAATAAAAGATAATTTTGAAAGTAAAAATAAATAAGAGAAAAATGAAAATTGTTAAGGAAAGAAAAAGAAAGAATTAAAAAAAAATTTAAATAAGAAAATAAAATCACCGAACAATAAATTTCATGAGTTAAAGAAAAAATGAACCAATCAGAATGCACACAAAAAAGTTGAATTTTTTGAAAACGAAAGAGCCTAAATGCGATATTTTTCTTCGGATCTCGCTTACACTACAAACCAGTTAAACGTAAGTTAAAATAAAAACATTTGAAAATAAAAAATAGTTAAAAAACAGTTGAATTAAAATAGAAGATAAACTGCTCCATTTTTGAAGAGACGGAAAATAATAATTTTTAAGTCGCTAAGCCGAAATTAGCAAGTCTCGAGTCAAGTCGCAAGTCTCAGGGTAAAACCCCAGTCGAGTCTCGAGTTGAGTCACTGGTGTGACTTAAGTCGGACTCGAGTTCGAGTCGGTTGACTCGAGGTTCCAGCTCTGTTAAGAGTACTGAAAAGCATAACCAAATTATTAGGACTTGGTTTGCTCGCCATAAAAAACTATTTCTTTTAGAATAAGGTATGACCCAATTTCACTTTAGTTGATTGTAATTTCCAAGTCAGATTTTTCAACAAAACATTTCAGTTCTTGACCTAAAGTTAATTCATTGATTGATTTTTGATATCATCAGACATATCACCACAACGAATTCTCTATCAACATTAGAATCTTCTTTACTAGGCTGGAATATTTTCTGAATAAGATTAGTGGCAAGATTCGCTTTATTGTTTTTTTTATTTTCTTTTCTTAGTGATTATCTTGATTTATAACATCTGGTGATTTAAAACACCTGTTTCAAACACCTGGGTTTAACAAATGTTTCATAAAGTGTAGTAAATTAATGTTTCGCCTTTCAATGATTTTTTTTCTTTCAATTCGCTGTTTTAAAAGCTGACTGAATGGTTAGCTAATTTTTTTCATTTAATTGGATTACAATTCCAAAAGAAATAAATTAGCATCTCATTTGGAAAGTGCTTCGTTTGCTAGTTTTAGTGGTTTCAGAGCAACAACAAGGCTATATTTCTTTACATAACTTTTAATCAATTGACTTTCTTCTTGACAAAGATGAACTTTATCAAGTCAATTTTTGTCATCTTCAATCAAGGTAAAATACAATCAATGAAAAACTATGCAAATGTACTCACTTCTGACAGGCATGAGATTGTTAATATATTAAACAAAAGTTTTCAATCGGTTTTTGTTAAAGAGCATGGTGAAATTCCGGAGTTTGTACCACGTATTACAAAACCTTTTGAATGGGATTGGAAAAATGTTGTTACAAATGAGGCAGTTCAGCAAAAACTGTATTCTTTGGATGTTAGAAAAACATGTGGTAGTGATGGTATTAGTCCTTACGTACTTAAAAATTGTTCAAGTAGTGTAGCAACTCCATTAGCTTTAATTTACCGAAAATCAATTGAAACAGGAAATATTTCTAGCAAATGGAAAGAAGCAAATACTACTCCAATATTCAAGAATGGAAATACAACAGACCCGCTTAACAGACCCGTATCATTAACATCTCTACCATGCAAAGTTATGGAAGCATTCATAAAAGAAGCGATAATGACTCATCTGATGGAAAATAAATTGCTTTCAAAAAATCAACATGGCTTCGTAAAAAATAAAGCCTGTGTAACAAATTTGCTAGAAACATTAGACATTTTAACAGCAAGCATGAGTGACAGTTTAGCGGTAGATATGATTTATATGGATTTTGCCAAATTCTTTGATAAGGTTCCACATAAAAGACTGTTGAAAAAGTGTGAAGCATATGGTATCAAGGGTGTAATAAATGACTGGATATCGTCTAATAATAAAGGGTGTAATAAATGACTGGATATCGTCTTTTTTAAAACAAAGAAGGCAAAGAGTTGTGATGGGTGTAGACGTGTTTCCATGGCTTGAGATTTTAGTGGTGTGCCTCAAGGCTCTGTGCTTGGTCCTTTGTTATTCTTGATTTTGTAAATGATCTACCATCAATTATTAATTCCAATTGCAAGTTATATGCAGATGATAGTAAACTTATCAAAGTTATAAAAAATGTTGAAGATCATGAGTCTTTGCAGAATGACATTAACGAATTTGTAAAATGGAAGGATATCTGGTTGACAAAGTTGAACATCGAAAAGTGCAAGGTGATGCATTTAGGTAAAAAGAATCCATGAATGAGTTATTGTATGACCCACGACGGCAAAGAGTATAAATTAAAAACAACAGTAAGTGAAAGAGATTTAGGAGTGATTATTTCATCCGACCTTAAATGGCATGATCAAGTGACTTCAGCGACAGCAAAAGCACAAAGAACTTTGGGTCTAATTAAACGTACGTTTACATACTTCGATGTGGAAATGGTGAAATCACTATATACGACATTTGTGAGACCGCTTCTTGAGTTCGCTATACTTGTATGGCAGCCTTATTTACAACGGGATATTGATGAGTTAGAGAAAGTGCAAAGAAGAGCAACGAAGTTAGTTCCACAACTTAAAAAGATTTCATATGAAAAAAGAATGAAAGCAATGGGTTTAACAATATTAGAGAAAAGACGAGCTAGAGGAGATCTTATACAACAATACAGATTCAAGCAAAATATAGACCAAATAAATTGGTACAAAAATCCAAAACCGGAATCATCCGTGACTAGTTCAGGCCCGGCTTTTTCTGTAAGGGGCAATAAATACAGGCTAGAAAGAGAATACGTACCATCATGTTTACCGAGATATAATTTCTTTACCAATCGAATTTGTAAAAATTAGAATTTGTTACCAAATGAAATCATTGAAGCAACATCGTTGAATGTTTTCAAAGCGCAAATAGATAAACATTTTTCATAACTTGTGTTTTTTAATTTGTGTGGGCTGTCTATAACCCGATGCTTGCATCGCGTTCCACAATTTATTTTATCTTTAAATATTTATATTTAAACAAATTTGTAATTGTTACAGCAATAAATATTACTATTTCTATTACTATATTACTAAGTTCATTCTAGGAAAGGAAAATTTAATGTTTTTGCCTATCAAAGCTAATTTTATTTCTATTCTATTAGTATTTCAAATTATACCTATTTAATTTCAAAGACTATTCTATTCATTAGTATTGAATAGGACTAATTTTTGAGCGGTTATGGCACAGTGGTTAGTGCACTTGCTTTAGAAGCAATATCCTGGGTTATTATAACACATTTGATGTTTAGGTTTAGTGTCATAGTCAAATTTTTTCATCATATTGACTCCATTAGTAACAGAGGCAGCAACATCTTTGTCTAATTGTAAACAAAGTGAATTAAGTTTTTTTAGTAATTAGTTCTATGACCATAGCTCCTGGCATTGTGCCATGCACCTTTAAAGAGATTGAAGTCCTCTGTTGTAATGAATATTCAAGTTCATGTATATTCTGTTTTTAATTTATGAGTATTCGTCAAATGTAATATTTAATTTGTCATTATTTAGAAAAAAATTTTCAATGAACAAATTACTTGTTTCTTAACTGAGTAAAAATATTTCATAAGTAAATCACGAACAGTTTGATTACTTTTTGGGATATTATATCCTTGAGTACAAATTATAGACTATTTTTTAGGCCCAAAACCAAAAAAGTTTTCAAATTTTAGTATTTTATGAATAGAACAACAGCCACCTAGGAGGTAGCCATTATACTGGATCTTATTTTGTTTAGGAGAAAGTGGGGTAGCCCCGGACGGTGGATAACTCCGGGCACTTAATGTACAGCTTAAACTAAAGAAGCTATGTGATTTTAAATACAATAAAAACATTATTTGAATTAAAATTATGAAAAATATTTATCATAATATGCCGAAGCTATTGGCTTGGAGTGCAAGATATTGTTTTTCACCACCTGAAGAGCAAATTATCATCATTTTTGATTTGCTTTTAAGCAAATCAAAAATGATGATTTAACTATTGTGTACTTAATATCATCATTTTTGATTTGCTTTTAAGCAAATCAAAAATGATGATATTAAGTACACAATAGTTAATAAAGACTTGATATTAAGTGCACAACAGTTATTTTTTTGTTTCTAATTCGATAGATGAATGTTTTTAATTTTGAAAAAGTCTTTTGACACTTTGTTTTCTGTTATTACATGTGTACAATCAATATTTTTTTTGAGTGTCCGGGGCTACCAGGCTTTCCCCTATATATTTATATAAGATTAACATGGTTTTATAGAGCTTAAAAAGATTTCAAAAATGAGGGGTCTTTCAACTTTGGAAGTTAAGTGTATCTGAAGTTATTGCATTTTTTGTGCTGGAATAACTGATTTTTCCTCGCCTCGTACGTAAGTATATAATATTGGCTGTGTAATGACACCGAAATAAAAAATCTTAACCAATAAGGAAATTTTAAAACAAATTTTATGTACTTCGGTACTTAGGAATCCTTACCAGGGTGGTTTAAATTTAGGTCAAAAAACTTTTACGACTAGAGTGGAAGTTTATAAGGTGCACAGATCCTTGTTTTATATATAGTATTTTTTTTATTTTTTTTTTTTTAAAGCTTAAGGGTGGCACACAGCCAAAAAGTATTTTTTTTTTTTACCTTTTTTTGACGTTTTTCGACCCGCGTGTGCCACCCTTAAACATTATTAAATTCAAATTATTTTTTTTACATATTCTTGCAAGGACCTTTACAAAAAAATAAAAAGGCACTCTAACTCAATTTATTTTTTGAAAACTTAAAAAATGTCCTTCAAAAATACCAAAGAACAACTTTTTTTTTCAAATCTAATGAATTTTTTATTTATTTCTAAAACACGCAACTATTTCAATGACAGCGGTATGATCTCAATGTTCAAATGTAATAATCATACTCAATGTTCAACACCTGCTATTTTAATAACATTAAACAAAACTTATGTTGGTAAAGTGTTTATTTTAAAATAAAAATCAATTTTATTATAATTTATTTACATAAAATAAAAAGTAAAATAAAAAATTATGCCAAAAATTCTTAAAAAAATGAAAAATAGAGGCCAAGAAATATTCTTAGTTAAAAAAAACTAGAAAGACTCTATCATCTATTAAACTTGCAACTATGGAAGAAGTTATACAGTATTATCTTTACATATGCGAGTCCAAACCATCAACTTCTCTCAAAAACTTAGTTTGTTGTCCAAACAAAGGTTCTACATTTACACCAAATTGTCCAGATTCGGGAGAGAACTGCTGCATTATATCTAGGCTGAAAGTTTCATGGGAATTTGGTGGATACAGAACTCGTAACATACAATGTGTTTTACGGTTAGTAATATTTATGAAATCTTAATCTAAATTAGCTTTACAGTTATTTAAATAGTCTTGTTTTTAGAAAAGAAGTCGAGGCTGTAGTAATGAAATATAAAAAGCTGCAATCGCTAAGAAACAGATCAACACCAGGAGCAATAAAAGATAAAGAGAACTTCTTAATAGAATCTAAAAGAGTATTCTGGTTAGAACATGACATACAAATCATGATTGATGAAATAAAAAAAAATAGAAAAAGAACTGAAGAAAGTAAATGTATGGACATTATGTTCTTGAAAATGCAGAAGGAAAAAAGACAACGTTGTCTAGGCATTTCTGATACCTGCTTCAAAAAGTTTGCAAAAAGATCTGAAAAAAAAAAAATTAAAAGTGAATCATCAGAAAAAATAGGAGATTTAGATATTATAGCTCAGAAGAAGAGCAAAGTTTATTACTACCTAAAGATATGTTAAAGCGTACAGCACTAACAGCTGTAGGAGAAGGTCTTTCTGTCAATCAGCACACTGCTATAAGCAGTGTTATAGCACCATAAGCAGTGTTATAGCAATTTCAGGAGGAGAAATAAATAAATTTGTTGCGTCCAAATCATCATCTCTTCAAGCTGTAGATAAAGTAATAAATTCGGAAGCTCAAAAAATTAGACAGCATCCTTTTTCTGTTACTGTTCCTAAGTGCTCCAAAAACTCTTATTCGTATAGTTTTTTTTCTCGAACATCAGTTCTTTGGAATTCGCTTCCTTCATCTTGCTTTCCTGATTCATATAATTTGCAATCTTTTAAGTCGTCTGTCAATCGTTATCTTGCTCTACAATCTTTATCTTTTCTCTTCCAGTAACTTCCAACACACTTAAAAAATATATATATATGTATGTATATATATATATATAATATATATATATATATATATATATATATATATATATATATATATATATATATATATATATATATATATATATATATATATCTATATGTATAAGTACAATAAATGCAATAGTTTCTCTATACAACATTGGCATATTTTTATTTCCAAAGTGAAAATAAAAAAAAAGATTAGAAAGCAATAGAAACCCAGTTTCAGAGTTTATGAATACGACTTAAGTAAATTAAAAATAAAATAAGTCACTAAAACTTTTTAAAAACCTAAGATAATAACACTGAATTTAAGCAAAAATAAAACCGTCGATTAAATATATATTTACAACAATAACATATAATATAGATATTTAATTACGTATATACGAGTGAATATTTAGAAACAAAATACTATTTTTAAATTACTTAAAAGTACGTTTAGGTATATCTAATAGTAAAAGTAGAAAAGTAGAGAAAGTAATACTAAAAAAGTAAAGTATAACCAAAACTAAGAAAAAGAAAGGATGAGATATAGTTAATTATTGGCTGGATTATTAGTGGCTGTATATCTCAATTTGTTAGAGCGTCAAACGAATAGTTAAAACCCGGACCGTTGTACGATACGGGTTCAAATCCTGACACCGCCAACTCAGCGCTTGAGTAGTACTTCTGTACGCAAAAATGTTGGTCAATAACAGACGCTACTCTGGATTAGTCTTGATGACTATTTGTAGCTGATCCAAGGCTAAACCAACAATATCAAGTATAATTCAAATTCAAATAAACAGAATATATATATATATATATATATATATATATATATATATATATATATATATATATATATATATATATATATATATATATATATATAGTATATATATATATATATATATATATATATATATATATATATATATATATATATATATATATATATATATATATATATATATATATATATATATATATCGGAATGAAAAAGTTTATAGGATAATAGCAATAACGCGGAAAAAAAAAAGAAAAAAACTTACCTCTTCAACTGAAGCACGCGGATAAAAGGTAATGGTAAAAATTTAATTCAAAAAAATTTGCGGCACACAAAACAATTGAAATTGACAAACTTTCTTTATTGCTATAAATATATTTTCATATGATGACTACCAGCCTGTATGTACTTTTTTTTCCATCACACTGCTTTTAAAAATCAGTGTGGTGGAGACACTCCTTAAAAGTTATAGATTAAAAGAACATTTTTACAGAGGCAATCTCATGTTAGTTAAAAAATTTAGAAGTACTTTTATACAGTTTTCGTCGCAACACTTTTTCAATTTTTATTTTATTGCTTTTATTTTGGATAGCAACTAGAATGAATGTAGTCATAAATAGAAGAAGAATAAGTTCAAAAAATCAACATTCAACCTTAAAGAAAATGTTTTTTATAATAAAGTATCAACAATCAGTGACGGATCCAGGGTGGATTTGAAATGCATACCCCTCTCCCATCAGAATTTATGAAAAATTTAAATACCAAGGTTTAAAAGACGAATACCAGTTTAAACAAAATATACAGACAGAGCTGTCGTGAGGAGAAATGGGGGCGTAGGGGTTTAACCTTCCTAGGAAATTAATTCGTCTGCACTACATTTGGCAAAACTTGATCTGTTAGTAGCAGTCAGCAATTGTTAGCAAACGAGGAGTTTTTTTTTTGACAACGCATGTTTATGTTTTGGGGTAACATTGACAGGAATGCTTAAGTCACCCCATGGGCCAAGAATCAAGCAAAAGTTGGCGGAATGCATGCGAAACATCTGATGAATCTTTCGTAATCATATGAAATGCAATCAAAAAAACTAAATTAAAAGGGTATTTCTAAAAAAAAAAAAAATGTACCATTACATCAAATGTCAACAGATTTTACAACTAATAATGTTGCATAATATTATAAAAACAAAACATCAAAACGTGAAAATGTAAAAAACTGTCTTGTTGTTTCTGAAATTAAACCAAACACTAAAAAATTTATAACAAATAATTCCAGCAAAAAGTTACCGCGCTGCGGGATTCATCGTAATATTGAGTCATTGATGCGATGTAGAGCTTAATAGCTTGACAATTCTTAGAGAATAAATTTTTAATCATAAACTAACATACCTTTTTATATTTTTAAGTAGACACTATCAGCTAACTGAAGTTAATTAATATCTTTCAAAAAACGATATAACATTACATTTTCATTGCAATTTTACAACTTTTTAATGCTGCTTTTTTTTAAAACGAAAATGCAGGTTGGTGCTAATATATATTAAAAATGTTTCTCTATTTTGTTTGTCAATATTTCAATGATAATGTTACTACTAATGATGTAATTTTAACATTTACAGCATAAAACATACTACCGTCAATGTTACCCCATATAGGAATTACATTGACAGTTGAACCCCAAAAACAAAATTAAATATCTATCAACAATATTAGATAACTAATTAAATTCCTCATCAGTTTATAGAGCATTATCATTTAGTTTGTCACAGCTAAAAAATATATTTTCTAAAGATGTGTCAACCCTACTTTACCTTACTTTCTAAATGTGTCAACCCCACTTTACCTTACTTTCTAAATGTGTCAACCCCACTTTACCTTACTTTATAAAGATGTGTCAACCCCAGTTTACCTTACTTTATAAAGATGTGTCAGCCCCACTTTTCCTTACTTTATAAGAGGAAACTTAGATGCCTGATTTAAAAAATCTTCAAAAATCCTTTAAACAGATTTTTAAAAAATTTGCAGGTGGTGACGAATGACAACGCTAACTTTTATCGAAATGTTTTTAAAAGAACTTTCTCAAAATCTTAAAAAAACTGATTTGAACTAATTACGCAATTTTTCATTGTGAAATTGATTAAAAACTTTTCATTGTATAATTTTTACGAGTGCTTTATAAAGTATGTTAACATAAAAAAAATTAATTTTTTATTCGAATTAATAAAAAATGAAATAACTTCATTTTATAAAAATATACAAATATAATAGTTTTTATATTTCTTATATTTTGTTTCTTTATCTACATACATATACTGAAAATAGTTTAATAAATACGTTTTAAATTTAATAATATAAAAGTATCCGTAAAATATACATTACAAACCCATATTTTTTAAAATTAGACTTAAGATAAGAATATTTTAACATAATAAAAAAAACATAATAAAAAACAGGCATACAACTTTAACCTTACTTTTAGTAGTAAGCATATTATGTTACGATTGTATATTTTTTAAGTTTTATTTTAAAATTATTTACTATTATACAATATTTAGATTTCACTAGTAGATGCTGCAGGCAATGTTTACTAATGACCAGCATTTTACTTGAATGCTATTAGTTTTTACCAGGTAATATTTATAGGCTGTTTACCTATAGCCAACACTTAATATAATACAGCAATGATTGAAATATCGTTTAGCATTGAACACTAAGTGTCGCCATGCAACCGTACAGCTTCGACCAGCAGATTGGTTTTTAAGCTTTTAGAATAAAGTAATAACCTCTTATAATAAAATATATTAAGATAAAGCACGACTAATTATGTTGATTGTGGTCTTCCGCTTATGGTAGATATCTTATCTTTCAGTTCAGCAATTTCTAAAAAGAAATTTTTTTTTGTGTAAATTAAAATTCTCTAATTTTTTAAAAAATGTTTTTTTGCTATGTTACATTATATTTAAAAAAAACAACGCAGATTAAGCGTAAAATAGTATAAAAACTACCTTGCTTCAAAGTCTGATTTTCATCAACAAGCTCTTGGTTTCGCGATGATAAATAAACTGCGTCTTGAATAGAATCCTCAAGTAGCGCACGGTAGCGTTGTTCAAGCATTCCTTTCTGCTCTTCAAATGCCTCACGATAATTACGAAACGTCTATAGACAATAGTTATATATGTTACAGTAAAAATTTATTTCAACAAATTTGGATTGTTCCACATTTTTAGAGGGAATTTTTCCAGAGCCCAATTTGGCCCCCACGTAAATTTTTATTTATATTTTTTAATTAGTATTTAACTGAGCTGACCTGATATCACTGTTAGCATTGAGTATTATTGTCTGTTATTATTAACTGTTGTTTATAAATTTTGTTGGTGACTGATGTTAATTATTTTTACTAACAGTTGTTATTGACAATTATTATTTATTATTGTTATTAGCTGTTATAGTTTATTAATATTAATGACAATAGAGACGATAATCGATAACTTTAACATCGCTATTAATGCATTATGATATTGCCTGGATAGTTTAAAAATCATTAACAACTAGGCTAGCTCCACTTTATGAAATTATTATCTACATGTAGATAATAATCTCATGTAATGGAGAATATTGGAATTTATCTGGAAATTTATATATACAATATATGGAAATTATCATTTGAGATTGTTATCTATATGTATAATTACATGTAGATAATAATCTCAAATGGAGTTAGTTTACTCGTTGATTTTATTTTATCCCCAGGAAATACATAGGTGATGAACTATCTACAGTTCAATGTAAACTAGAGATTTCATAAAATTGTTAGATGAGTAGAATCATGTATGTGGTTGCGTAAACAGTCAAAATAAACTTAAAAAGTTGGTCATGTATAATGAACATTTTCTTTAACATTGGATTTAAACATGGATGTATAAGATTATATATAGTATATTATATTATAAGATTATATCTTTTATATGCCTATGATATAAATAAAATAAGTTTTTGTCAAATACTTTCTTACTATTCAACAATCCGAACAATACGAGTAAGACAATTGCATAATTTTTTAAGCGGAAACCATATGTACCATATGCGCCTAGTAAAGAAACTATTAGTAAACTATCTGAAAAGCCTCCGCATATAAATAAGTCCAGTGAAGCAATAATTCATGAACTGAAAAACCTCCTCATACAAATGCGTCTAGTGAAGCAACTATTAGTAAACTACCTGAAAAGTCTTCTTTTTTAAAAGTTCAACAACAAGAAACTATCCACACCAAAATCAACATTTTTCATCCGCCCAAACATTATGTTTTTCCCAAAACTAAAATAAAAGGTTGAGATTGTTCATGCCAACAAAATTGTTTCAAGGATTTTCCATGGTTACATTATGATAAAAGGTAAGATACATACATTTTTGATTTGTCTGTCAAGTTAAAAGAATCCAAATTAATTAAAAATTGGTATTTTAAAGATTTTTACCCTAATTCTTCGCTAAAATGATTGCATTGTATTCAGAACAGACTGTCTTTAGCTATTATTATGTTATTTAAGAAAGAAAGGGAAACCTGAAAGATATACTACCAAAAGTTTCTTTTCATATACTACCAAAGGTCTTTTCATGGAAAAAAAAAGCTCGAAAATGTTTTCAGACTCACCAAGATTCAGCATGTCACAAAACAGCCTCATTATATCAGCTTAATGTTGTCCAATGTCAAGATATTGCAGAGTTAATAAATAAGCAGATTTTCAATAGAAGAGTTATAGAAAGAAAATATCTTTTAGAAGTCATTTGATGCCTACGTTACCTCAGATGACAAGGAATAGCTTTGCAAGTTCATGATGGGAATACAATTTTATCCTATTATACTTGATTTGTACAAACAACAAAAACATTGTAGATCATCTTGATGGAAGAATTGGTTACAAGTATACACATAACGAGGTGAAAAATGAGATTATGGATATATTAGCTACTCTAACATTACAAGAAAAGTTAAAAACCATTGGAGAACGCAAGTTTTTTTTCCATTATTGCAGATGAAGGTACTGATGTGAACAGCTAGCGTTTTGACTTTGAACAGTAGATAAAAATTTGAACCCTTTCGAAGACTTATAGGATTTTACCAGTTAAAAAAAAAAAATTAAAATCGATACTATTTTCCTTGTTCTCAAAGATATTCTCATTTAAATTAACTTAAGTTTCAATAATTGCAGGGGTCAAACCTATAATGGTGCATCTAATATGATGGGAAGAAATCTGGAGTATCAGCTCAAATTCTTGCTGAACAGCAAAAAACTGTTGCCATACACTGTCAAGGACATTCTCTTAGTTTAGCCACAAAATTGCTGACTACAAAATGTGACACTTAGCAAGATACCTTAAATGTTGTTGGAGAAACATGCGTACTTGTGAAGTTTTCACCAAAATGAGAACATTTGCTTGGAAACATTAATGAGAACATTGAAATAGAACAAGGCTCTGAACCATTTATAAAGCCAAAGAAACTTTCCGCAACAAGATGGACCGTTCTGGTAGAATGTATTAAGAGATAATTTTGAATCACTCTTGCAACTTTGGGACGAATGTATGACAGAAAACCAAGAAACAAAAGCAAGAATCATTGGTTGCAAAAACCAGATGGAATCCTTTTACTTTCTTTTCTGGCATCAATCTTTCTTATAAACTTTATGGTATGATTGCAAATTTTTCAAAATCCCTTCAATTGACAAAGATGTCGGCAAACAGTGGAAGAAAATCTGCATATTTAGTGATACAATAAAAAGTATGATGACTTCCATTTGTTTTTTGCGGTAGTTAAGAAAGCAGCAAATTCTGAGGAAACAAAAAAGTCTAATTATTTCATTTTTTAACATGTTGTTGATTATGAGTATCAAACAGGCAATGCCTATAACCCAGAAACAGGCGATGATTATTTTGAGCCAATATATTTTGAAATTATGGAAACAACTAATGAAATAGAAGATTGATTAGAACAACTAGCATTCAAGAAGTTTATGAACATTAAAAAACCGGATTGAACATTTTAAAACCGGAGTAGGAAAAGTTTTTTTAAAACCCCAATATATATATATATATATATATATATATATATATATATATATATATATATATATATATATATATATATATATATATATATATATATATATATATATATAAAACTACTGATTTAGGACTTCCCCTCCCCCCTTGTACAAACCTGTACGCTTTCGTAGGCCCCCCTCCACATACGTACACATATATATATTTTTTAAATGAACTCAATTTTTTTCCTCATTGATTATAGAGATTATTAAAAAAAAATTGTGACAAAAGAGAAAATAAATCAATTCTGATTTGTTACACATGTGAAATTCAATGTTTAAAAAAATAAAATCAAGTTTATGAGATATAGTCAACCGCATACGTACTCACTGTCTTTAACAACCCCTCCCCCCCTGTACCCAATTGTATGTTTCTTTTCCTCCCTCCCCCTGTACCCAATCGTAGGTTTCTAATTAAACTTTAAAATTATTTACATTAGGAAATTTAAGAAATGCAGAGTGAACTTGCAGAAAATCAGATCTTTAGGTAAATATTAACATAAATGGATTTCAGGTTTTTGGCATGAAATTCAAGCTGCATTTCCTTAAAAGTTTACAAAAAGGTTTAAAGTCAGATAAAAAAGACAAAGAATATAACTCTCAAGCAATTTTTGAAACTGGAAGAATTTTCCTAAAATCAGTAGAAATATAATAGAAAGGAAATCGATAGAAATCGCACTTTGATTTTATTTTGTCAAAATTAAATGTAATAATTTTTAGCAGTGTCATTTTAAACATTAATTTTTATATATTGCTTTATTTTTAATTTACACTTTTAAGATCAATGAGTCTATTTGCAGATGTGGCATTATATTGAATATGAGCAGAGGTGAAAATGAAATCATAGTAAAACCTTACAAGGTGTTTGGATTCGTTAATAGTGGTGCAGCCATTAGCATCTTCTGACAGAGATCACTATATAAAAGTGGCAAAAGTTCTTTATTCAACCCAAAGGGAGTTCCAGAAAGATGTAAAAACAGATATAACCAAAGCTGAAATCCTTCTGAAAGCAGTTTTTGTTGATAAAGACCACCCACTAGGTTTTTAGTTTTAATTTCACCAGACTACAGATTAATTTTTGATATTCCAAATTATAGTTTGAAAAAATGATTACGGATGCAACTCCCTCGGACTTTTTGGATACAACGAAACTCAAAGATTTTGAAACCTTTCAAAGTTGCTAACAACTCATCAGAACTCACAGCAAAATTGTAAATCAATTGACCATAGTTTAAGAAACTTATTTCTCAAAACAAGAAACATATTTCTTGTTTTAAAAAATAAATTGCTAGGTAAAAAATATGTTTCTTAAAAGGAGAAATGAATTTCTTGTTTTTAATAATAAATTGAAAGGTAGGATATTTTTTTCTTAAAACAAGAAACATATTTCCTATTTTAAGAAAAATATTTTGTAAAAAGAAGTTCAATTTTGCTTACAGTAAAATTTATTCAAGATAATGTAGAGCATGTGCAATGAGCTTGGAGAAGCTTCAGAAGCTACTATAAATAAAGAGTTCTTGTAAAAAACCATTAAAACAAAAGAAGAGTGGAAGAAGCGACTGAAGAAGAAGAAAAAAGAAGAAGCTACAGCAACTCTCAATATTAGCTATGAGTAAGAAGCTAGCTACAGCGACTCTCAATATTACCTATCAGAGTCAATAACTCAAAACAATTTGAATGGTTCTAAAAATTTGAATTTTGATCCAACACTAAACTGCAAACTTTAAACCTTAAAAAACTAATTTAAAAATGACCTTTTCTTGAGATATTTGTCTTATGCTGAGAATTGATAAGTGTATATATATATATATATATATATATATATATATATATATATATATATATATATATATATATATATATATATATATATATATATATATATATATACACATATACATACATACATACATAAATAAGTTTGAAGCAGACAATAAGTTGTGGTTACAGTGTTTGCTTTACAATCAAGAGATCTGTGGTTCAATGCCTACTCTAGCTTTTTTATCGACATAAAGTGCAAACTTCTTAGGTTAATGCTTTTGTGTGGCGCTTTGTGATGTTAGGTTTTCTTGGAGCACCTACAATAACCACACAAAAAGAATGTATATATATATATATATATATATATATATATATATATATATATATATATATATATATATATATATATATATATATATATATATATATATATATATATATATATATATATATATATATATATATATATGTATATATATTTAAAATACATTGATACATTTTGGTCTAGTTTAGTTTACAATTTAAGACTAAAGTCCTTTACCGAATCTTTTAAGGTAACCATTTTGGATTTGTTTGATCTAAGGCTCTTTTTTTAAAAAAAACAACATTATTTGATACCAAAATGAGGTAAAAATAATAAAATTTGTCGCCTGACTGGAAATGACCTCAAAGTTTAACAATAAATCACTTCAAAATAGCCTAAATGTTAAAGACAAGTACTATATATTCCCTAAATTGAAAAGCACAGAGTTTTTTTCACAGAGGAACACATAAAGAAAATATTTTTGAAAAAATTAAATGGATTTGACATAAGAATCTATTTGTGCCAATGCTTAGAAAATTTGAAAATGCTCTAAATTTAGTCAAAAATCATAAAAGCATAATTACTAACAATCAATGCAAATACTTCTAACAAGAAAAAATAAAAAATATAATTTTTTTCTATATAAATATGACCTCTCTGCCACTCATTAGCCACTCTGCATAAAAATTGGTTGTTGAAAAAAATTATGGGACTGGCTAATATATATGTATACACATATATAAAAATATATATATGCATCATACACACACATAACCTACTTAAATCTGGAATGCTCATTGTGTAGACAAGTGGACTCTCAAGAAAAGTGATAACTATTTTCTGCTTGACATATTATCATATTATGTGTTTAAATCACACACATATCATGTGTTTAAATCAAGTTAGAAATCAAACTAAAAATCTTTTATAGTAGAGTACAATTGAACTAGCTATCTAAAACTAAAAATCTTTTATAGTAGAGTACAAATTGCTATTTGGAAAACAATGCAAACTATTTTTATACAATTACAAATTTTATTTTATTTTAATTAAAATCAAATTTTATATTAATTATAAACTCCTTTAGATTTCAATTTTCTAAACAGCCAAACCTAACCTTCAAATTTATAAACTCATTTTTAACTTCAAATTTATAAAAATCATTTTTAACTTCATTGTAATAGATATTAAATTTACTTTTTACACACACCTGAAAATGCTGAAGTTGTTGGATTTCAAGTTCTTCTTTTTGTCGTTTAAACATTTCATCAATATCAATTTTCAATTGCCTCTTTTCACTTTCAATTGAGCGTAACTAATAAAAAAAATTATATAGCATTTAAACATTCACTTTACTTTAAAAAAATGGTTTATTTTTGTTTTTTAGAAGTTCATTTTAAACAATACTATAAAATTTTTATGGTTTGCTAATTTGTGAATCCTATTACAATTCTTAGATTGGTAGTTTTCTGTACACATTCATTAAAGAATTACTGTTTTGAAGCAGTAACTGAACAAGAATGTTTTCCAGAAATAATTTTAAACATTGAAAAATCCTAATTACTGGTTTTTTAAGATATAACACCTTAAAAAAACCAGTAATTAAATTTTTTTTTTTTAATTAGAAAAAACTTGAGAAATCACTTTAAAATAATGTTTTAAAGCAGAGTGTATTAATAAAAAGTCTATTTCTAAACAACTGCTTCAACAGTCGTGAGAGTTTTATTGAAGTGTCAGCAGTCTTGAGAGTGTTATAGAAGTGGGATAAGGAGTTTAAAAACAAGCCTCGCTTGAGGTAAAACAAGTGAGTGGGATGAACAGAATGAAGAGAAAGTAGCTCTAGAATAATAGAATTATTTAGATTAATTAATTAGAAGCAAATGCAGCAGCTGACTTTTTGTAATCACTTTTAGTACTTTTTTGTGGCTTTTTTCAAGCATTTCAAATCACGTAGCTTTGATTTCCTCATGACACGCTCCATATTAACTTGAATGAGTTTAACTGCTCTTACAAATGAAAAATTGACAACATCAACAGATTTGACAAAGTTCTGGAACTCAACTTGTGGATGTTTCATTCAGATTTATTTTTCCATACTTTGCCCAAGAACTATGAAGATAAACCATAAGTTCTGAAGATAAAAGATAAGACCGCAGAGATGAGAGATGGTTGTTATACTGCAAAATACTGGAAACAGCTGGAAAAACTGCATTGATTTTTTCAAAATTTAATACTGTTGTGTTCTTCTTTTTCAGCCGAGTATAGAAAATTTACCCTTTCTTAAATGTCTGTAATGACCACTGTCAGAAGAAGCCAAAACCATCACAACTGTAGATAGATCCAAGTAAAAAGTATGATTTCATAACAACTTTGATTGCAGGCCCAAATTTAACATAGTGGAACATATTCCAGTAGTTGCTCTGACCCTATAAATAATTTAAGTATTATTATTCAAATTATTATTCTTTTTTTTGTTAATTAAGAAAAATAAATTATTTAATCAAACCTGAAAGGCAACAGAATTTGAGAACTAACAGGTCATAAACCACAAAACCCAGAATAGACCAATATAGTGAGCTATCCTATCAATTATTTTGATGGAATCTGAGCTGTCAGAACCTTGTCTGCCATAGCTTAAGTCTAAGGAAGTTAAGGGCCTTAACCATAAATCTTGCATGTGAGATTGCTCCACTTTTGCAAATTCTGTAACTGGTGCCCTGATCTTTATTAAGATACATAAACACAAGCATTTGATAATGTTCACTGTGTTTCTCAAATGTCTAAATGACAAATATTAATAATGATTTTAGTGGAATCAAAAGTATAAATGTAAAAGGGTAACAAAGCCTCATTTTAGCTTTAATTTGTTTCTCAGTATATCTCTTTCTGTGAGATTTTTGTTTTAGTTTGCAATACTAAGCAGGCTTGCTTCACCACCCAAATGTCCGACTGTGCTTTTGGTGATTGAATTTGACCAACTTTGCCTGATTCACATCAACCTCAGACAAACAGTTTTGTGAACCACAGCATCAAAAAAATATTAGATATGAAACTCACCTGCAAGCAAAACATAAGCATTTTTTCATCATAAAAACCAACTGTGTGCATAACCTTAAGATGAAGTAGTAGAGGTGAAATAACTCACTAATTTGAAAAGAGTCTAGCAACTACTGTATTGCTGAAATTGTGTCCTCTGGTTCCATGGTCCAGGCCTTGCCCCCAAGGAGATGGGTTTGATTGTTATATCTTGTACAATTTTCCCATTAAAATGTAAAATTATAGGATTGTCAATGTTATTAGCCACTTGACTTAAGTTACCTCTCAATATAGCTGCATTCTCCTATATGATTTTTTAGAGATTCTGTAGAGCAGACCAGAGGGCAAAGTAAAACCATCAACATTTTCACCAAAACTGTTAACTGCAGAACTTATAAAAACATTTGGCATTGTTATAAATGCCCATTCCAATAGCATTTCTGGCAGTTTTTGACACTGTACCCAAGGGAGAGGGAGTACCTGATCATTATCAGTCTTCTTTCTCTTCGACTGAGGAATCTCAAAATCTTCATCATTAAAACTTTGATTGCTATACTTAATTTCATAATCATCAAAAAATATTATTTCTTGCTGTACACATTCTTCCTTGATTTGGCTTTTGCATTGACCTGCTAAAAACAACTATGAAGTTCTCCTATCCTAGTTGTGGGGTTTTGCACTATTCCCAACAACTATGAAGTTTTGATAAAAACTTCATACCATCAAGTTTTCACTAACTTTAATTAAATATTTTCTTTTTTTAAATCATAAATTGAGGAACTACAATAGTTTTTAATGAAAAAATGATCCATTTATATTCTTGGGAATATAAATATCAATTTGGGTACAATTGGTATCAACTTCTCAGCGTAGTTAAGGAGAGTTCCAAAGAAAAATATAGCGTTTTGTTTTCAAAAAATGTTATTTTATTCTGTGTGCATTTTGATTGGTTTATTTTTTTTAAAAAATCATGAAGCTCCTTGTTTTTTTTTGTTTACAAATATTTGGTGATTATATTATCTACGAGTTTGAAGTTTTAGCTTAACACTATGGGGCAGAAGATATATAAAAGCTGAAACGTTTCTGTTTAGTAATTTATTTAAACGACTATAAAGAGAATATGGAAGTAAACTGCTATGAGTGAAAACTAATGTGAAAACTTTGATTTTAACGTTTTTACTGTTTACAGAAAGATAAAATAAGAGTTTTTTAGTCATTTATTGAATATTTTAATGATGTAAACAAGGAGTCTTTTTACTTTCAAATAAAAGAGACATTTTTGAAATGTAAATACTTAACACATTTGTTTCAGCTGTTTTTATGACACTGCCACATCGCGTTTTATGTATTTTAGTAGTAGTTTTGTTTTGCTTGATGCTTTGGTTAAAAAAAGATTTATAAAAAAATAAAAAATTTAAGTTTAAAAAAGTAAATTTTTGTATTTAAGAAGAGTAAATCGTTCATATCTCTCCTTAACTACGCCGAGTATGTAGTTATATTGTGGAATGCGATAGAAAATATAATAACGATTTCATGGTTTATGATTTCAATAGCTCTTAATCAAAAATATTTGTAAATATGTTAAGTGATTTTTTAATGATATTTTAATGGGATATTTGTGGATTGTTGCCCAATACATAAATAACATAAATTGCAGCAATGAGGTGTTGAAGGGGACTAAGACCTATTCCCCCTCCCCATCTTTTTATTAAATTTTAAAATAAATAATAAAATATATAATCAAAATTATAAAAAGATAAAAATTAAAAGAAATTATTTTTTTAGCCCCCCAGATAAAAGCTGAGAGGTTTGTTTTGTTAAAGGAGGTTTGTTTTGCTTTGTTGGGAGTTTGATTTATCAAAGACTTTAAAAAAATGTTAATTTATTGTTGTGTTTACAATAAGAAAACTACAATCTACAACGAAAAATGTTAATTTATTGTTGTGTTTACAATAAGAAAACTACAATCTACAACAAAAAATGTTTATTTATTGTTGTATTTTACAGCAAGTAAACTACAATCTACGACAGAAATGTTTATTTATTGTTGTGTTTAAAACAAGTATCTAGAACAGAAAGCTTTTTTTTTTAATTTTTTTTTTCTAATTCATTCCTAACAAGGTTGCAAGCAACCACTATTAAGTTGGGAGTTACTAAAAAAAAAAAAATGCAGTTTTAGAGTAAGGAAACAGTTGACAAAAAACTTGAAAAGTTGTAGGTTGTATGAATCAGGATATAAAGATGGTAGAGAGTTAAAAGGGTTGATGTGCGGGGGAAAAAACTAGATGAATAAATGTTTTTAGAACAGCAAGGGACAGATACAGTAAATAAATGAGACTTCAAGCTTAATCAAAAGTCAAACAAGAATGAGATTTAGTTGATGGAACTATAACTCCTTTGAGCAGCAACCATGATAGTATTTGTAGAAAAGAGAAAGAGATGCAACTTTAAGACAATGAGAAAGAGGCTCAAGCTTAGCAGATAAAACAGATATGGGTTTGACTTTTTGTCAAGACAGGAGTATAAAGTTGAGTCATTAGCAAACGGAGCTGCTTTAGGTGTAAGGTTGTCAGGAAAATCATTAATGTAGATAAGAAACAAAATAAGACCAAGGATAGAACCTTGATGTACCCCAGAAGATACTGGTAATGAAAAAGAGTGTTGGTCTTTAAGGATTACTTTAATAAACATTCCCAGATATGAAACAAGCTTATGGAGAAGACCAGCATGCTAAACTTTGTCAAAAGCTTTAGATATACCAAGAGCAATAGCCCTAGCCTCACTGCCTCCATCTAATGCACAATAAAATCTTTCAGTCACAGCAGTTGGCAAGTTAGTCTTAGAACAAGAGGATTGAAACCGTTTGTCTGACAGTAAGTTATTTGTCAAACCGATTGTCTGACAGTAAGTTATTTGACTCAAGATGGGATGTGAAAAATTTGTTGATCAAAGTAGCAAGTAAAGTAAAGCATCTACAACAGAAAATGTTAACTTATTGTTGCATTTACATTTATGAACTAAGTTAAGTGTGGTGGATGTTATTCGGATGAATGTTGTGGGGGTCTGCTCCCACCTTCTAAATGTGTATAATAAAACTACACTTTTTTTTTCACTGTAAATTTAAAAAACTTTATTCCAAAGGAAAAAAAAGGGTTCATTATCCAAAAGGTTTTGACCCTATTAGGCATCTAATAATTTTTCACTTCAACAAATTACATTTTTTTTAAAAGAATTTTTTTAGAAAATATGCACACATAAAAATAAAACTCACATACTTTTACAGCCATTGTTGACTTTTCAGCTTTTAAGTCTAATAACTCCATTTCAACTTTAAGTAAATCATCAGCTGTAATCAACTTTTGACCTGAAGATTTCATCTGTTATACAAACATCAAATTAGCAAGTTTTACTTAGTATAAAATAGATAAAAAATTAATTATACTATAGTTTTACTAAAGTTAACAATTATATATTAATAATATAATTATAATGACAATATTATTTAAATTAATAAGTTAAACAGAATGAGTTGACAACGACAGGAAAAAAAACTTTAACAAAATAATTAAGATTAAAAAATGAATTTAAACAAATAAAAAATTATTTAAAAAAAATAATGTATAAATAAATTCTACAGAAATGTGAAAATATTAATTAAGTGGGTAAATTAAAAATAAACATTTTTATTGCTATATCATTTTCTAATGACAATGGGTTAAAACTTTTAAAGGTTTCAGAAAAAATCAAAAGTTTTGTTTTTTAAAATTAAAGTATTTTTTTTTTTGAGATGCAGTTCAATAAAAATAACTAATAAAAATTATTATTTAAAAGAATAAAATAATTAAAAAATCTGCATCTTGCATAATTAAAAAATTCACACAAAAAATAAAATAAAAAACCTTAAGTTCTGCTTTTTCATTTTCAGTCTCCATTTTAACTCTGTCAATTTCATCAGCTAAAGTCGCTTGATTTTCTTTTTCCATATTTTCCCGATTCTCAGCCTGCAAATAAATAAAGGAAATATAAAATTTAATATTAACTTCTTAAATATTAATTTTCTTAAACAAAACTATTTACTTGGTATTATAATCAAATATAAAATGGGGCTCAAAAAAAAATAAATAATAAGATAAATAATAAAAAAAAAAAAAAGCATATAATAAATTTTACTTAAATTTTTTTAGTTTACTTAAATTTTTTTAGTGTGGATGCAATATTTAGCAGATATACAAAAAGCAAGTTAAATGAGTCAATTATTTTTTAATTAACATTCAAAATTCAAGATTCCTTATTGGATTAAATTGGATTGAAAAACGAAAATCTTTATAATCTTAGTATGAAAAAAATTAATCAAGTTGATGCTTAGACAAAAACGCTTTTTTTTTTTAATTTATTTGAAACTCTTATTTAAAACTCCAAGTTATATTCGGTGCATAGATCAAAACCCTTTTTTTTTAATTTATTTGAAACTCTTTTTCAAAACTCCAAAGCACAAGTTCAATGCATAGAAACAGGTTGAGGACAGTATTACTGCAATTGTAAGCCAAAAGTTTTATCACTTGTATTACTACTAAATTGAAAATGGATAAGGTTCTGGATAAGCAGTGAATGGAATTGAAGAGCAGTTAATGGCAAAAATATTTAGAAAAATGCAATTGACTCAATGGCAATCAAAAAATAGTTATGTGTATTATGTTAGATAAAAACTTCAGTTGTTCAAAATTTAACTCATTTTAATTCCAATGTGAATAATACATTATTTAAACTCTATTTATACAAGTTTGTAAGATTCTTATAGTAAAAAGTAAAATAAATAAGTAAATTATGTTGTACAAAGTACTGTAGTACTTATACAGTATTATAGTAAGTACTGTATTACTATGTATACAATCCAAGTATATGTAAAAACAAAATAAATAAATAATGTTTATAGGTTACCAAAAGAACATAAAAATGAAAATTTTATTAGATGTTTTACAAAGTAATATTTATTTTAGAAAATATCCTGTTATATGTTTTAAACATTAAAAATAATCCAAATACCAAAAGTATTTACAAAAATGCATATGATCTAATGGTGATCAAAAAATAATACCATTTGTGTATTGTACTCAATAAAAACATTTGACTGTTCAAATTAAATGTTTTTTATTTATTTTAATTCTAATGTCAAAAATAAAAAATAACTTATACAAGTTGGTAAGACCATTATAATAAAAACAAGAAATTTAATGGTAAAAAAAATTGTTTTATAATAATAATTGTTCCATAATCATGAGATCAGATCTTTTTTTTATGCGCTTAATTGGCACAACTAAATTCTTAAGACGTTATTCTAACTAAATTTATTTTCTGATCATTTACTACTGCATTCTAATATTGGACTGCATTCGATGCTATTACTTTTTAAGTTGAACTTTATTTGTTCTTATTAAGTCTAACAACAATTGTCATCAAAAATGTTGAGTCAAAATAATTTGAAGTTAGTGGAACATCATCTTTTATATTTGCACTTTGGTATGTTAATGGTTGCAAACTTTTAGCACCTAATTGTCCTATAGAGTTCTTCATCTGTAATATTGGCTTTCTCAAGTATTGCAATTACTGCATGTTAACCATTATTTTAAATACCCCGCCAAGATGAATTTATAATGGACCTTCAAAGTTTTTTTTAAAGAAATTATTTTGCTTGATATTTGTAATGCCATTTTAGTGTTAACAATAATTTCATTTTCGCTTTCACAATATATATTAGCTGTTATATTGTCTCTTTCATGATACTATTCACACATTGACAGTTACTTATAAAGCAATCCCATCTATTTATCTTGACAAATCTTCTCCAAGATGAGAATCTATTTATATCAAGGGATTGAGAAACATCAGTGGATTACACAAAGTTCATCAAGACAACATTCTTTTGTACTTGCAAATTAACTTCTTGCATAAATTCAATGTAATTATAGGGAAATTTTTCGTCTAAAAATTTATGATGCTTGGTCCACGCCACCATATATTGTTATTTTCACTGATGCTCCTTTGTTATTAAATCAGCTATATTAGTTTTTGTTTGTATGTACCTCCATTGTTTTAGTTCAGTTCTTGATTGAATTAATCCAACGCAGCTGGCAACAAATAGTTTTAATTATCAACTTTGATTTTAAACCAAGCACAAAATGTTAATCACACCATATAGTTACATCTTTTTGCACAAGCTTCTAACCTTTAATAATTTTTAAGTAATTCAATTCATAGTAGTGCAAATTCTTTGTATAAATGAATTTCTTTATTTTCATTAACTACCAAAATCATTGTATCGTACATAAAGGTTGCTTTAAGAATAGCTTATAATGCATAGAATTGAATTGATGCAATGGTATGCATCAATTGAAAGCCAGATGCAATAAAATTGCACCAGGCTACTGTCTTGTAGAAGGCCTCCTAGGCAAGGACTTAAGGGATAAACAAATTCTATCTGTTGACTAGCTTCACACCCCTTCTTTATCTATTAGGCTGACATAGATGTATTTATAACACATTGTTTCCAGTTTAGGATGTTGAATGCTAGATATTTTTAACTCAATGCAAGGGTTTTGCTTGTGTCTCTATTTTTATGACTAGGCAACTCATTCTATGTTAGGGTTTATTAATAGCAATGAGACAATTGTTTGGACTGTTAGGTAGTGTACTGAGTACTTCTGTGCTTTGAGTCAAGTTCTTTAACCAAAAAATGACTAAAGTATCAAACACTATAAAACACAAAAAATTATAGTCATCACAAAAATCTCTAAACCTATTATTCACTAATACTCATGGTCTTCAAAATAACTTTTCTTCTGTTGAGTTTTATCTTTTGCAAAGTTAACCAGACCTACTTGCTATTTTTGAGACTAATTTGAGTTCAGCTGTCTCATCTTGTGATCCTAATGTTGATGATTATCTTCCTTAAATTCGTAAAGACTCCAATAGTCACATGTTTGGCCTGGGCATTTACATTCGTAAAAATTCACCCATTTGTCAGGAAACTAGGTTTGAATACACAGACTATTCTTTTATGTGCTTTTGTTTAGCACCACTTCATTCTATCGCCTTTCTCTTTGTTCTATATCGCTCTCTTTCATCTCAAGACTTCACTCTTTTTGATGTTATTTCTAATCAAATTGAACAAGCTCTCTCTCTTTATCCATCAGCCAATATTGTTGTTGTTGGTGACTGAAATACTTATCACACTAAATCTCATATTTTATCCTAAAAATTAGGCTCTAGAGATTTCTGGAGAATCTTTAGCAGTGTCTATAATATGGGCAAATCTGTTATTCCTCCTCTCTTGTATGGTTCAGACTTTGTCACCTCACCTAAAGACAAAGCTGAATTGTTTGCTAAGAACTTTTTATCAATCTCATCTTTTGATTCCACTAATTGCATTCTACCTGATATAGCCAACAAACAGGTTGATTAATTGCTTGACATTCATGTCACTCCAGCTTTTTTATCTAAAGTGATATACTGCTTAGACTCTTCTACAGCTTTTAGTCTGGACAAGAAACCTGTTATAGTCTTGCAGAAGTGTTCTCTGGAGCTGTCGACTAAACTTTTAAAACTATTAAAGTGTTTATCAGCAACTTGTTTCCAGCTTGCTGCATCTGTTATCCTTTTTTTTCAAAAATTCTGGAAAGTAATCTGACTTGTCTAACTACCATCCCATTAATCTTCTTCCTATCATAAGCAAGGTTTTTGAGTCTTTAATTAACAAACATATATTTTCTCATTTTGAATCCAGGCTTGGTCAGGAAGCGGGTGCGATCACACTCTATTCCTGACCATGCAAATTATATTTAGTTGCTACAACTTTGCAACAGCTTTTTAGATGTTTCGAGAACATTCAAATTTATGTATGTCTAAACATGATTAACTTTTCTTGATCATTTATAAAAAAAAAAAGAAAATTATTTTTTAAATTATATAAAGTTAAGTAAGCTTTTTTAAAAATTGTATAAATAATTATATATATATATAAAAATACAGTATAATTTTTTATTCTTTAAATGTAAATCTTTAAAAAATATTTGTACAATTGATTTTATAAAAATAAGACTTTCAACAAACAATTGCGTTTTCAATAAAATTTAAAAAATAATCATCATCTAAGTTAATAAAATTAATAATCAAATAAACATACAGGAATTTACAGGCGACTGAATATAAACACACATATATACATAGTGAATTACGAGTGGATGAACACTGTGCCAGAAGGTCGAACAAAACATAAACATACATTTATATTAAGTGACTTATGGGTGAACCAGCACCGCTCCAGCAGTCCATACTGAACACAAACATGCAAATTTATTAAAAAGCCCACTCACTAAACATCATTAGTGGTATTGTAATGCATTTCCGTTTTCTCTTCAAAAATATATATTTTTTTAGTTTATCTATTAAAAGTTTGCTTTCTAATAATTTAATGCAATAAAAACATGCTACGATAAAATTTTTGTTTGTTTGTTTGTTTGTTTGGTTTATTCATGGTCAAAAAAAATTACAAATTTTTGACAAAGAGCGGCACACCAGGCTTCTCTGTTATGAAAATGCAGTTTTTCAATTTCAGCTATAGTGAAGGTGCCGGAGCAGAGAAAGTTTGTATTTGAAATTGTTCAATATCTTTGCGCCCACTGCATTTTGGGTTAAAGATTCTGTGTTTGGTTGAAGTTGAGGGACCTGAAAGTTAACTCTATCAATTTTGATCATGATTTTATATTGCCGATAAGGTCTCCTCTTTCTGGTCGTTCAGTTAGTGCTGTCAGGTTATAGTTTGATAGTCTTTGATTATTCGGAAGGTGTTTTAGGGTGGCAATATGTTTTGCGGCTCGGTGTTGAACTTGCTCAAGTTTGGCTATGTCTTGAGCTAAAAACGGTGACCAGGCCTGTACTACAAATTCAAGGTGTGGGCGAACGTATGAAATACACAGTGTGCGCCCAAAAATAAAATCATAATTTACTTAGAATGTAATATACCCTTTGTTTATTAATTTATACTACATATTATAGTATAATAAACCGATGGACTTAAATCAAGGCGTACTTAAATAACAGGCCTTCTCATCGCGCAACGGCTTAAAAAATGTGGAGGCTGATTTAGTTAGCGGCAAAAGTTACTACGAATAACTTGTATCCCTACCAGAAGACTTAAAAATGCCCAGAAAATGTTGTGTTACTGGTTGTAACTCTAACTATGACTCAGTAAAAGATAAGACAACTACTTTCAGATTACCGAGAGATCCAGTAGAGCGTCTAAGATGGATTAAAGCAATCCCAAGAGAAAATATACCAGACAAACATGACACTGTAGTTTGTGCAAAAAATTTTCCACCAAACTTCCAAGTCATTAAAGTAAAAGGAAGAGAAAGACCTGGAGATCCACCTAGTGTATTCGAACAAATACCCAAGAGTTTAGTGCCAACTCCTCCACCAGAAAAAAGAACAACAACAAAATCCAAAAGCTCTGTAAGATCAATAAAAGAAGATGAACTTTCAAAATTCGAAGAGCTTTACAAAATTGATTCATTCGAAAATTTTTGTAATTCGTTATCTCTAGAAAAACTTAATGATTCAGTTGTTTATTATAATTGTTTAAATAGCTGTTGTATTCAATCAAAAGAGAATGAAAACAATACTGGTATTAATAAATTTTGTTTAATAGTATTTAATGACTTAT